ATCACTCATCTAAGTAAATGTTGATATATGCCATGTGAATGATGATCATGACAAAGCAACATTTTAAAATTCAATAATAAAGACTCAGTTATATCTTAAAGTAACACAATGATGTAATTGAAATACTTATACATATCAATGATATATAATTTTCAAATTTTTAAAATCTAGTTACAGTATATATCTCTAGGTAAATATGTGCTGATTTACATGCAATAATTTAATAATAGAAGATCGGCGGTTAGCATTTTTCTTGGTCATTTAACTTACCGCTTCGGTTCCGATCCTGCAAACAGTAGCGTACGTAGCGCAAGCCGACGATGCAAGTTGTATTGTTCAACAGCTGATGAGACTATAATAGCCGAAATGAGTAAAATGATGCTTTCTGTCATGTAATTCAAACATACGTCCTCCATAGGCACGATACCCATAACCGGAAACATCACCAGCGGGATGAATCCAGTTATGCAGATTGGGATAGGTTGAAACATCCAGTAGAAGGACATTAACAGCAACACATACGAACATTTCGCTGGCTTAAAAAAAAAGTTGGAAATTAAGTACATTTTAAATGTTCATTTTCAAACATCTCAATAGATATTTGCATAATCAGAGAAAAAGAAAAATTGTCAAGGACTTTAAGCGGACATTATTTTGACGATTTTGACGATTTGTTTTTATTTTAATAGTGTGGATATTTCAAGCATATTTGCACAGTCTGTTGATTTTTGGTTGTACCTAATAATAATAAAAACATGTATTAAACTGATGTCCTATTGTTAGCAACTGTTTGTGCTGCATAATGACTTACAATCCGGTGCGTTGACATAGATACAATAACGTATTCATATTGCTATATTAAAACATATCATAAAAAACACTTCCCACTTAGAATATTAAGAAAACTAATTATATTAGAATTATAATGATTGATGGTTTGTGTTCATACTTATCTGTGCAAAAGTATTTGGAATTTAATTATTTGATGCATAATCAATTTAAGTTAGATTTCAGTGGCACGATTAAAGTTTATACCTTTTGTGTGTGTTTTTGCATAACGTTCCACTGAAGCGCCATCAAGTTTGTTTGCTAATTTTGTTTTTGTATTCTCTATGGTGGGCAATTGAAACAATTGACTGCGTGTGGAAAGTTTGTAGATAAATGGTAAATCTGGTTTTGGTAGCCTGTTCTACTGCAGTTTTCAGTAGGAATATATTCCATCAATATGTATTGAAAATGTTCAACCATCTGAAGATGATATACTATATCTAACAGTCGTCTATTTCGACAACTCTCCCCTTCACACATTTTATTTTAAGCCACCCGAACTAGGGACGATATGTTTTGATTTTGCGATATGTAATGCGATATCCGACATTACAATAATCTCGCACATATTCCCTTAGACATTAATACGCATGAAAAGTATAACCTGTGAATCATAGTTAGTGGTGCGAATTGGGCTCATAACAGAGAAATTACAAATAAAGATAAGAATTTTGATTCCTAATGAATCCACCCCTAAACACTAGCATATTGTTCGTGCAGTTCAATATAAGGATTGCACTCTCTGTGGGTGAAATTTAACTACTCAAGCTTGACTCACAAACCTTTTTAGCTCATTAACTTGAGCATGCATTTCCATATCGATGTTCAGACAGTGATATTCCTACGTCGCTTAAGGTTGTGCAAGAGAATATTTTTTGACCTTGCATTACTGGGCTTGAGAGGCTTATTTTCAATCATAGATATGAACAAGCATATTTGCACACAAATCGTATATACAAAACACACAACGGTATATTGTATGTATCTTTCATAAACATAGGCATGAGTGATGTTTCCAATACGTACCCCTTACTATTTTTGTTCGCCTGTCAACTTTCACGAAACGAATGAAATTATGTCACTAAATATGCAATGCCCAATATTGTTTGTGTATATTATCATCTTTTTCTTACCTGTGAATCGTTAAAGAAAACGAGAATCGGACTCAGTAAGAGTGGAATGGTGAAAGCTAATATAAGCTTATACTTCTTTTGCCAAAATTTCGATACGTTCATTTCAAAATGTTCTTCTCTTCTACTACACGTCCTTTCCCCGTAGAACAAAGTTGTCAACTAAACTATTTTCTTTGGCATACGTACGAGAGTGATTTTATAGTGCATCTGACAGACTGTCGACTGCACTGAAGTTAGGTCGGCATGTAGAAGAAAGTGTTAGGCATACACGATTAATCAATGAATGCTGTAATAGTTGATATTTCAAGGTCGTGAAAATAGGAACATTATAAATGAATTGGTTTGTGATACTCTGTAGTATCTACATCTAACAGTTTTCAAATTGCCAGTAAATATCACCATTTAAATTAGTTAAAACACACATCAGCACAATGTAATTTAAATAAATAAGCTGTTTCAGGATACTAATCGCCTATTGATACCTCATCTGTTTTCTATAAATGTACATGCCCTATATATGAGGGGGAGGCGTTTCCCCTTCACTGTGCAAATTATATCACTTCAAACGCTATTTACCACTTCCCTTATCGACAAATAATGATTCATTATTATTACTCAACTGAATGTATACACGTCACAATAATTAATAAATAAATGTGCTACTTCGGAATAATAATCGCCTATTACGTGATAACCTCATTTGTTGTTCAATAGATGTACGTGCCCCATAAATGGG